TCTATACTTATTACATCTTATTGCATTGCATTTTATGTTTGCCATACTAAAATAAACATCTTGTAGTACTAAGTACATGGAATAAGAACAAGAAAGCGGAAAGTTAATTTTAGCGATTTTCATTATTTGTTTACACATATTTTATCCTGGACAAATGTATGTGAGTATAAAAACGATATTTCCTCTGCCTATGATTCACGTATTGAGAGAACCTGTCACCAACAGATGTTGGTAATATTTTCACATACAACAAATATATTGCCCGATTTATCAATAAGTTTAAACGTGCTATATCATTATTATGAATAATTAAAAATTGCATATAGACTACGTGGGATGATTTCATACACGAATTTATTATGATGTATAACAAACATATAGAGTATATTTTCATTTCTTACAAACACAGTGGTATATAAACTAATGTATTGCGCAAATATTAAGTGCCATAATTTATATGATTTTCAATTACTACGTCAATTATTTTCTTGTTTAAATTTGTGGATTAATTTTTGCAGTAATATAAAAAATATAGATTTTTCTTACCCAAAAGTCCAGTAGATGTCGTAGCACATTACTTGGAGCCACACAAAACAAGATAGGCTTAAATATATGATAAGGAAGCCTATAACATTCAAAGATTAATTTATGTGTAATTTTATCCACTGACAACATGAAATCACATAAAATAATACATTTAATAAACAACGATTTCGATTTCTTTTTAAATTTAATGCAGAAAAATATTCAAGAAAGGTGACATAATGTTCTTTTTTGGTATTATTATTTGTGGTCCACAATATGACATGCTCATAGGAGATAGTTTAAAATTGGATTCCAAAAAAGATATTTACACTGAAAGAAATAGGCTTATTAAACTGTTTCTCTAGAATACTGTGTATAGCGCATGTTAAAACTTTTATAAGAGACACAACTTTTCTTTAAGAAGCACACTCATCTCTACATTCATTATTCAATTAGTTTAAATGGAAAGCACTTATACACCTTATGCACCTATGAAATAAAGCTTATAATGAATTATTTATATATTATTATGTGTTATAATCTTTATGTTCCATTTGTATAGTAGGAAAGATTTGTTGTATAAAGACCAATATCCGAATATGTATGTAATATCTGTATTAACAGAATTATTCGTTTTCATAATGATTATATTTCCATTTTTAACATGTAAAACACCTCTTGATCGTCACCTCTCGTTGCATAATCTATTACGATCGTAAAATTTCCGACAGTCCGCTGTGCATCGACTATTACGCCCCTTCTAGTAGCATTTAGGATTCTAATGAGGAATAAAGCGCATTTCTTTCAGTGTAGTTATTGCAATGAAAAAGTTTAAGCCTTAACAAGAGCTTGATGTTGCATTTTCAGATTTTTTTAACCATACGCCATAAGACAACAATTCTGAGGATACTTACCAATAATTTTGCAAGTTGTCAGAGTCTTTCTAGCGTTCAAATTTGGCTTAAAGGTGCAATAGGTAAGAACCACAAACAAGGTGAATAAAGCACCGCAAAAGCTGACCAAAGTTTTCCCAAACACCTTCCTTGTTTCCTTTTTAAGTATATAGTAAACTACTGTAATGATGAGGAATATATTCGAAACGATCATGGCCCATCTGTTAAATAAAAACTTTTTCTCCATGTACTCGGTATGCGGTATAATTCTAAAAAACGTATGTCCATATATTCTTCCTCCCTTCGTGGCATGTTCAATGCAATAGGTTTCTTCTTCAGGGGAATAAACTTCGTTGCCTATTTTCTCTTGGAAAGTGTAAAAGTAGCCTTGGTTGTCAAGGTGATATTTCTTAATTCTTGGAATGTAGACTTTAGTTTGGTAGCCATGTATTATGGCGTAGTCGGCTGAAAATCAATTGCAGATAAACTTCCTGTAAGCTATAGACATACAAACAGTAGTAAACGCAATTAGAATTTGCATTGTTGTTAGAGATGCACTAAAAGCCATTTAGAAAACGTCGAGATTAAAAACGGTGTAAATAATTTTATTCATCCACAAGAAATGCGTTCCACGAACTCAAAGAAATCTCAAAACAATCTTGACCATCGTCAATGAGGTACTTAAACGTTAAAAAAATATTGCAAATACCTTGTAATATTTTCGGAATTATTAATTAAGAAATAAAAGATTACTTTTATTTCTTAAAATGCGAGCGAACAAGGCTTATAGCTTGCGACGTTTTTTTCGAGACATCTAGTATATACAAATTCAGAGATGTAACAGTGGTAGGTATATTTTCAACTATCTTATTTATTTTGTTTTTTATTCAACTATTTTTTTCTTCTGGATCAGTGTTTTACATAAACAATTTATGCGTTTTCATCCCATAATTAATTTTTANAAGAAAATATGGATTATTGCTAAAAAAACATTTTTAATTTAAAAAAATGAATAAAAAGAGAAAAATTACTTATTACATTGATTTTCAGCAAAACGACAAATTTAAACAATCCGGGCACTAGGAAAAAAAATCGCAGCGTTTTGAAATTATCAGGATTTCTTTAGGACACTTTGAAGTTGAAAAGTTATAATCGATATCCTTAGTTTATTCATTATTTGCAAAGTTATGTCGAGTTATTCAAATATCCCTAATTATGCAATTTTTACCTTTTCTCTAACCAACATTTTCACTTTGAAAACATTTTTTTTATCAAAAACACATAAT